CCTTTTTTCTCACTACCCTGTGAGATGCCAAAGCAAGTGCTGGTGGAATTGGTATATCCTGCAGATGTCCGAGGAGCAAAGCTAAGAAAAATCTCAACCTGAGAAGAGAAAGTGAATAATCAAGACAGAAACATTGTCTAGAAAGAAATAAGAAAAAGTCATAGAAAGGCAGAAAAAAACTTTCTACCTTTTTCCACCGGGTTTTGGAGCAAGTGCTTTTTCATGACCAATAGAAGATGGGACTGGATTTGAGACCTGAGTTTAGATCCTGTATGTGAGCTCCAGGACAGGGCTCCAGCCAAAGCAAAAGCCATTCGAGCTGCAGAGAGCTGAACATAGCAAGTAGTTAATAAGCAAGAATGAACAAATGGGAGAAATTTGCAGAGCTCTGTTCAGCTTGGCTTTCGCTGACCTCGGCACAAGTAAAGAGCTGCTGTTTAAAACGAATGCAAAGCCAGATGCTGGCAAGAAGAGAGGAATATGTATGTGATTCAAACTTCTCTAATGGAGCTGGATCAAAGGACTCCTGCCGAGGGGGAAGGCGGGAGTGTCACTTCCACTGCTTTCAAAGCTGGCACTAAGCACAGCAGAAACAAAGCCTTTGCTTCCTTTAGAGGCTGCAAAGCCTCCACTTTTGCACCACGCTGTTGCAGAGCATGTGAACCCCTCCCAATGTCCAGCTCAAGCACTGGAATTTCTTTAGCAATTAACTCACAGGGAGGAGTAGTGTTGGAGATGCTTTACCCTGACAATACAGATCTGCGCAGGAAAATATGTCCCATGTGGTACAAAGTAGCTTGAAAATTACCACTACCCTGCTTTAATGTGAAGAGCTCTCAGCTGCAAGAATTTAGGCTGTGGGAAATGTGTGTATTTAGAAGGAAGCGGGGAAAAAAATTGCATGTTGGAGCCTACAGTCTGCCAGGCAAAGGGTAAACTTTTAAATGAAGAAGCGAACTCGCAGCAAGGTTTCCCACAATGGGAGGTTTCTTTTTTTTTTTGCAGAAATCAGGTACAAGAACAACTCCAAGTGATGGATGTGATTAGGAGGACTGCTGTCTGAGTCAGTACCAACCTAATGTTTCAATATGCATCAGTTTGGGCAGCAAAATGTGCCTTAAAGGTGCTATGAAGAGATATGTACAATCTAGGTGGAAGCCATTCGCTACTTACTGTAACCTTAAAAATGAAGGCTTGGTGGATCCTAGGCACCAAGAGAGTTTTTAACTTTAATCACTTAGGATTTGTGGTATGGATGGCTGGGGTTTTTGATGCAAATCCTACTGTGGTTGTCTTGGTTCCTTTCATGCTTCCTGACTGCAAATAAGCCGTCTAGGGGATAAGTATTCCACAAACATAGCTCATTCAGTGTCCTGCTCAGGGTCTACACCAGCTTCCAGTTTGGTCCGGGATAAAATGGAAGGGGCAACAGTGTGCAACCTGCACACATAGGCTAGCTGCAAGTCATTTGGGAGGATGACGAGTGAAGTAAACCCAACTGTTCCCGAGATACTCTTTGCAGCATAACAGGAGCAAAGGAGTCTTGCCTACAATGCTGTAACTTCATCTTGAGTAAGGGATGACTTTTCATAAATATCTCCATCTTCCTTGCCTCATCTGAACTTGAATACTGCAACAGAGAGAAAATTTACCATAGCCCACGGTAAGGTCATACAGAGATCTATTAGTGTGTTAAAAAATTACTTTTCAACTTGCAGTCATCAGATCTTGCTGTGTGTCAGTCTGATAATATCTTAATTCCCTACCACTGGAAAGTTAGCTTTGGAAAATAGTGTCTACATTCCTGATTAGTTCATAAAGCCACAAATGAGTGAGACCTCTTTACTCTGCTGCAGAGGTGAGGAGGCTTAGCCTTGAATGCAGGTGGATCTGTGGTCCTCTGTGCTTAGAACATGGATTGTGCTGGACAATGTGATTTTAATCAGGAATATCTAGGCGTGCTTCCAATGGGAGCAAGGAATCCTTGGCCACTGGGTGAGGGGAAAGCAGAATTCATCCCCAAACATGTTTCAAAGGCTGAGAGACAAACCCAGAAGCATTTGTCAAGGCTGCCTTTGACAGGGATTGGGCCATTCCTGCATCAGTAATGCCTTTCAGAAATGGACCTTGTAAAGGAGGAAAGCTGAACAGCTCAAACATGCAGGAGTCCCTGATTATATTTCCAGCTCTGCCAGTAACTACTCTGGGACAGTGGGCAAAGGGCAGTCTTCTTTATCTTCCAAGTGTACACTGCGGTAATACCTATCTAAAGTTTAAATGTGTCAGAATACTTAGAGAGGAGGAATTTATGTGCTGCTACAAACCTTCAGGTCTTTGCTGAAGACACCTTAAAAAACATGTTTTACCACTGAAGCTGGAGGAATTCTCAATAGTAAACACATGTGATGGTTGAATTTTCAACCCCTCTTCCTAAAGAGACAGAAGGTCTGTTTCTTCCCTCTGTTCTTCCGTTGGTGCTTCCTTCAAATCTGACAATGCAGCAGTTCATCTGAGAGGAGCTATGTATTTAGAGTGAGAGGGTAATCAGTTTTGGACAGTGCACTAAGGTACAGAGAGGACTAGCATTTCATTAAAATCAAAACCCAAACCAATCCTTCAAAATAGCCAGCACCATTTCTAGGAATTCCCAAAAGAGGTGTCCTATACAGACATTTAGTTCAAGTCTCAGCAGCACCTTTCTGACCTTGGAGTTGAAGGAGGAGAGAGGAAGTGCAAGAAGATTGGGAAAAGTATTGTATCTTGGAAAGGACTACGGACAATGGGACATGCTGCCAGGAGAGGCTGGGAAACTGGCAGGACTGGAGAGAGACTTGGAGGCTTGACTTTGTGATTGGTTATTTAAAAGGGAAATCGAAGATACAGCAATGCAAGCAGACGGACTAGACCCAGTGAACATCCCTTCTGCTCTATGATGCTAGGTGTGAAAGGGTTCAAGGGCATTCCAGGATCCGTATGACTTTGTTCATGCCCACAAGGCAAGGAGTTTCCTACTGGTGAAGAAATGGGTTTGGATTCATATGTCATGGAAGGGTTTGGGACAGGTCTACAATGCTCTTCAATGAAAAATGAAAGCCAGACTTACGCTAACGTTAGTTTTATCACTTCCACCAGAGGAAATACTCCATCGTTTTATAACCTAAACATATATAAAAGAGAAAAATTTATTTTGTTGTTACTCTAATCCCTGGTATCTGCAGTTTGCCTTCTCAGGGCAAGCTGAAGTTGGGGCACGATTTCCAGTCGGGTCCTCAGCAGCAAATGGTAGAAAAAGGGGTGAAGAAAGCTGTTTATTTTTCTTTGTACTCTGTTGGATGTTTTTAAACCAATACCCGCTACTGACTTGCCAATACTGATCTTCGCAAGCTCCCCCTGTCTGGTTACATCCAAGGGAAAATTACAACTTGAAAAAGATTCAGTCAATATGCAAAGGCCACCTTCACAGCTTCTTGCCAGCAGTTCAAAGCTCTTTGATGCTGACACTGGCAGCTTTAATTCTACACAGATGTGTCTCTGAAATGCTCAAAAACATCTCAATCTACAAAACCCTCCTGCAAACATACCACGGATCAGCTTTTACATGGTATTTAAGCATTTTTGATTTTACAGCTGTGTCATACCTAAATAATAGAAAAAAAGGAAAGAGATGACATTTAGTAAAATGCATTGGGATTCTGGGCTAACACAGGCTTCTTTGATCTGAACCTGCCTGCTAAATTCACTATCCCACTCATTCTGTAACACTGACCAAAATGACACCTTGCCACACACAATAAAAGCAGGATTTGCTAAGACCACATCTCCAGAGCTCAGCGCTGTGAGATCCAAATGCAGACCAAAGGTTCTATAGTGCTCTGCTTCCACAAAGAACCAGACTAAGCTTCTTGTTCCATCACCCTCTGAGCTCTGGTCTTGTCTCTAAGTGAGTCCCATCACAATAAGCCCCACCAGTCCCGCCTTGGCCATGCTGCATGCGATTGTGCATCCTGGATCCGACTCTGCTTGCAAATGACCGAGAATGTTATAAATAGCTCACCTTGCTTCTCTCCTGAGTGCAGGCACAACCCAAATTTATTTTCTTACTGTCAATCTGGTTCTGCCACTCGTTTTTCCTTTCTGCTGGAGCAGATACACTTCTTTGCAACCTTGCCCAGCAGGCCTCATGGCCTGAGACATGGAGGAGGTGCCATCAACCTGCACTGCCTTATTTGTGTTATCCACATCCCTTAACTACACAGGCTCCTGATACCTGTTTCTAGCACCAAATCTCTGCCTCTCTGAAAGGCTGCAAGGTACTTCCCTCAGCCTGCCTCCCTCAAAGTCTCTTCTTGCCCTGGAAATTTGCTCCTGTTGAGGAAAGCCACGTAGATGGTGAGCACCTGCCACAAATACCCCTATGCTACATTTAATTAGCATGCAGTCCCCAAGAAGTGTTGCCTTCACACATCATCACAGCTTAAATCCCATTCCTGTGGCTTTCCTAAATAGCTATGCCCACCACTGCTGCCTTGGCTTCCAACTCAGTCCCTGTGTGAGGGAGATG